GCAGGCCGATAAACGAACCGTAGAGAAGTGAGACAACTTCTTGGATTACAACATTCCATCCCCTCAAGAATCGCATTCATTCATAAAGTAGAAAAATCTGTCGCATCTTTTGTGCATCCGATGGGTTGAGTTTGTTTACCTCACACACAGATACACAAAGCAGATATGCCTTTTGCGATATACTCGGATATACAGATACTCAGTGTCTCAGATACAAATCAAGTACAAATACTCTGGTGCATATTGCGCAAAATGTGCGATCAGACGATCAGAGGGAGATGAGCTCGTAAAACCAAATCCGGCCACTTGTAAGACATGTTCCCATTCAACATCAAAGTTCTCAAGCAAATAAACCCTACTTTGTATATCATTTAATGCAATAAAAAAAAAGGAATTAAGAAATAAATATTGTAAGGTCATGTACTGGAAGCTGCATTTTTTTTATGATTATATAGACATTATGAGACATTAAGACATTATGAGACATCTTTAAGGAAGTATGGACTTGATGTATAGATTTTTGATTCTTATAAGAGATGATTTAAATTTAAAATATATTTAATTTTATTGGGATATTAATAGCCCGATACTCAAAGATACTTTTAAGTACCGAGTGTCATTATCTTTTAAAGATATTTTAAGATTTAATTGTAGTATGCATATGTACACTTTATAACGCTCAAAAATAATTACTAAAAGAATATAGACCCCATAAATATAGATATAGAAAATAGATTCTAGAATATAGACCCCATAACCTCATAATTGTTATATAATGTGTACAATTGTAAGAGTTATACGGCTTATAAAATAATTTAAATGGTAATTATAAATTTAAGATTTCTTAGTAGAAACGTGCCTATATAATACATACTTTCAAAAATAATTTAAAAAAAAAATATGCACAATTTTAGACCCTTTACAACTTGTGTTAAAATGTTCTTAAGTTTTTTAATTCCTCCTTTAATTATACACTTTAAAACCTTAGGTTTAAGTCCTTTTTTTATAACTAAATCACAAAATGGATACAAATTAAATAATTTCTGACTTAATTCCCCAATAATTTTCAAATAGGCATATAGGAATTTTTAAAAATAAAGAAAAAGTCCATGGCAAGTATATTTCTTCTCTTAAAATACAGTCTTGAAATGCAATAAATATTTTCTTCAATTTTTACTAAAAAAAGAAAAGCTACCTGGTACATAGATCACAAAAACACCCCCTCTTTTTCTCAAAAAAATTAATTTCTTTCCGTATTCATGGCTTTAATTGAGTCATAAACACAATGAACCCTCATTAATATCCATAATTTCTGATGGCGCTTAAAATTTGTTTGACATTTCCCAAACGGCTGTCTGTCTTCGGAGATCGATGGGTGCTATGTAGGTTCGATCCTCCGACTGCGCCAACTGGTAAATGGTTAATGGATAATGGTTAACGGCTAATGGCCACTTCCGCCTGGAAGACTCGGACATGTGCATTTGGGATCTTCGCTTCCCTTCAGCCCCGTTGCCAGTTCCCCTTTCATTTCTTTTTTTTTTTTTTTTTTTTTGGCTGATTGAACTGCTCCGCAGTGTGAGTGTGTGTGCCAGTAATTTGGGCTCATTAAAATGGTTCCGCCACAAGGCGAGAGAAGTGTCATTGGGAAAAAGTCGGGGATCTCCGCGACATGTGGGAAATGAGCTATAAAAAAAAAAAATGATCAGAGGGGCCCAGGAAATCGAGAGACAATAGAATTGCGGCGGTAATTGTTGGCGTTGGTCATGGTGAACCGTAACAACAGCAACTGTCAGAGGGACCCTCACACAAAAATAAAAAAAAAATACAAAAATTAAAAAAATTAAAAACCGTAGAGGATGAGTAACAACAAGTGCAGGAGGATCGAACACGTGCGTGGGAGTAGGGGCTCTAATTAGCCGATAAAAACTAAAAACGTACAAAATACCTACAATAAACAGATGGTTTTCACCCTTTCGGTTTCTTCCTTTCGTTTGGTTTTTATTTTATTTCATTTTATTTTAGTTGTTTGTTGTTACCCGATGTTTGCGTAGGTTTATGTAAATTAGCCCAGGTCGGCGGGTCAGCGGAAGGTCGAAGGCGCAAATGATTCCCAGAAGGCAACAGCAACTGCAACATCAACTCAAGTTGCAACTGCTCTTCTGTTCGGCACACTGCAACATCAAATGCAAATGCAAATGCAACTGCAACTCTTTTTCCATTTCATTCACTCTCGAAAGAAGGGGAAAACAAATTTGTAGATCAAATAAATGAGAAACAGTACACTTCGAGAAATTCTTACCAAAGAGAATATTTGTAGAGAAATTTTAAGTGGATTGTTGGTGTGAAGTACTTATGGGTTGTAACAAAAATTATAATGAAACCTTTAAAATATCTGATTATTTTTATTTTTTGTCTTTAAACTAAAATCTAATATTGATAACGCACTTCCTGGGAAAATGCACTATATAAAATATTCTTATAATTTATTTTAAAACAATAACAAATAATTCAACTTACCTGCTTTAATATTTTGAATAATCGTCTTGTGCTTCATATATATATTTAATCATTATCATATCTAGACATACATATATTCATATTCAATATCATATTAAATATTAAAGTACATTATATATGCATCTGTAGAGTGCAGGCTTTTATTAAATAACTGGACCTTAAGAAAGAGACGCTATGTTCGTTGGAGGCTGTCCATATCCTTACGTACATACTTAAACACACGCGACGGGGACGAATTACATCTTAACTCAAGTATTTACTTTAAAAAAACTGTTTTAAAAAGCTTTAAATGACACACACAATAACCAACAAGACAAGTACTATATTTATTAAAAATTAAAACTATTTTTAAATGGAAAAAAAATACTTTTAAACACAAGAACAGACGCCGCTCTAATAAGGACCTCAAGCCACAAAGCGACATTTCGAATCCGAACACCAAAAAATGAGTGCAAAGCAAAAATAAAGAGCGAGTTAGAGAACAGAGGATCCCCGGGAGAGGATACAAGTGCTTGGGGGAGAGCAGGTGCTCCACACATAGCTCTCTCTAATATAAGAAGTCAAGTGCTCTCCAAAACAGTTATTTGTTACTCGAACTCAGGCGTTTATGCGGGTATTAAAAAGATGTTTATGCGCAAAATATATAAATTATAAAAAATTATAAATAAAACTAGTTATCTTAAAATTGAAAATAGTAAATCTAAACAACAATTTTTCCTCAGTGCATAACACACAACCCAAAAACTATTTGCTTTCGGAACTTTATGACGTTACGTTTTTCAGGAGGCTGTCATAAACCCTTTTAGCGGCGTGCGCGCAAGGACCAAAAACAACAAACTATACAACAATACAAAAAAGGAGGCCGGTGCTCCTTGTGCGAACAACAAGGATGGAAAAGGAGTATATATAGGGTTTTAGAGGGAAAATGAAAAGGAAGGAGCAGACCACCCTGACAAGCAGCCACTGTTGATTTTTCGCGGTCTAATAAAAACAGCCCAAAAACGGCGGTGGAAAAATGAGCGGGTTTTTCCCTCAAAGAGTTGCACACGCACTTTTCCAAGGAAATCACAAAAACCCTTCGGTTTTCCGCTTGTTTTCCACCCCCACCACCCTTGCCTGCCTCATCCTCGGCCATAGCGTCCGTTTCTCACTCGCCTTTGGTGCTTTGGGTGTGAGCATTTGCATAACGCCGCCAACTCTGATGGGTGCACCTTTAAAAAAAAATAATGGCTATAATTTTTACACAGGAAAAAAAAATATATTATATAGCTATTTTAATAAAGGTATCAAAGCATACCTAAAAAATTTGGTTTTGTTTTAAAACTTGGCCTAAAAACTATGGTAGGATACCAATCTCTAAAATTAAAATGTCCTTTTTTAAAAAACGAATAAATTATTTTTAAAATAAATTTACTAAATCTAATCAATTATAAAATATTCTTAACTAACTTGGCTTTATCTTAATCAAGATCTCTTTATTTAATATATGACCTTCTATAATATGACCGTTATGTTTAAAATAAAGATTTTAAAGTTTCATAACATATGAAATATCAATTTAATTTTTCTTTGTATCAATACATATATTCTTTACCAAAAATATATATTAATATTTACAAAAAATCTATATCAGTTTACGTAAAAAAAAAGGGACATCAAAAAAATTAAATATTCATTTTCAACGCTTTTGACTTAAAAATATTTTTCAATTATTTATTTTAGCAATTTTTTCAGTGCTTAAACAGATAAGCTATCAAAGAGAGTATTTGAGCTTTGAGAATTCTCTGTTTTGAAAGCCTTCTTCTCAAAAATTAATGTTAATTTTTATCAACACTCATTTAATTAACTATTTTTAAAACCGGTTTTTGTACGAAGACCGAGAGATCGCGTGAGATTTGAACTTGAACTTTGAAGTTTATTTTTTTGTTTTATCCGATTGATTGGATTTTCTATACCATCATTAACTGTGGGTGTTGTTTTGAGACTTTATATACATTGACTCTTTTAGATATATAAAAAAATAATAATATATGTATATAAAAATTATGAAAATTAATTTCTTCATGATTTTATTATTTGATTAGTAAAGATATTTAATTAATTAGTTAATCTATGTTTTAATTAGAAATATTTTTGCTAATTTTATTTACAATACCTACCATTTTCATATACTTCATATTTATTAATTTTCACACATTATTTTTATGCTGTTGAGGTCCACTCTAATCCCGGGCAACTCCCCGACCGGACAATCTGAAAGCTGAACTTTGTTTATTGGACAGCCAAGATGACGTAGCCCCCCGCCTGGAGCCGCCGAATCGCTGTGATCAGCCCACCGGGCAAAGGCCTGAATGGCCTGACCCAGCCGGTCGTGGGACTGATAACGCTTATCAGTCCCCAACACATTGCCCCCCCCGCCGCCGTACCCCCCAGCCTGTCAATAAATTAAGCAAAATAATAAATAAATAATCGCCAAGTTGATGTGTTGAGGTAAAAAAAAATGAACATAGCAAAGTTTATTTGAGGCAGGCCGAACTATACACAATTAAAAAAAAAAAAAAAGTTAAAAACGAAGTATTTACATTTTTGATGACGAGGCGGAGGCGGTATTCATAATAATAATGCTGCTGCTGCTGCTATCCGTATATATGTACAAATGTTAGACCGCCCCATTCGAGGCGATGCCGCCATGTGGGGCTATAAACAGTCGACCTTGAGGTAAATGCGTTGCTCGCTGGCCAGCAGCGCGAACTTGGCGTCGAAGCGGATCTGCTCGCAGGTCTCCTCGCACAGCTCGACGCGATGCTGGTGCAGGAAGTAGGTGAGCCCGAGCTTGATCTGGAGCAGGCCCAGGTGCATCCCAATGCAGTTGTGCGGTCCGGCCCCAAATGGGAGGTACGACATGGGTGTATGCTGCGACCGACACTCGGGAGCGAAGCGTTCCGGATCGAAGCGCTCCGGATCTGGCCAGTACTGTAATTGAAAAAATATAAATAAAATTTAATTTAATTTAAATTAATCTTAGAAACGTAGAGTTATAAAAATATTAAAAAATATTTTTTGAAATGAAACAGATGAGTATTAACTTTAAATAAAGGCTCTATACCAGTGGTCGGCACTCAATACATTGATATGATTTTAATGCATAAGTATTAGTTATATATTAGTGTTATATTGTTTATGAGAGGCAGAGCTCGGGCAGAGAAATTTCCTATGTCCCTGGAATGGGACCCTGCCGATTCTATATTAATAATACTGTAAACATTTTTTGGTAATAATAGATAAACAAACATTATTGGCAGTAATTTATTGAAAGGTATTTAAGACCTTGAAAAGGGTCTATTACGACCTTATAAAAAAAATAATATAAAAGCCCCAATATACATACATATCTATGGTAGACACTACACGATGTGAATTATTTTATAAAATTATATATTTAAATAGGAAATATATGAAAATAAAATATAATATAAATATAAATACAGCTTTACAAGACTATTAAAAACCTCCAAGACAAGATACCCCCAAACTTCAAAATATAACCCCTTATAATAACCTTATAGAAACACCCACCTTGGGATCATGATGAATGGCTAGAACCGATATAAAGGCAGGCATGCCCCTCCGAGCATAGCACTCGGCATGGGGTCGCAACGAATAGAAGCGCTTCTTGTTGATCGGCGTACACTCGCGCTCCAGCAGTGGCACGATGGGATACTTCCTCAGTGTCTCCTTCACCACCATGTCCAGAAACTCCATTCCCGATATGGCCTCGTAGGTAAGCTTTCCGCCTGGCGATTCACCAAATGCCGTGCTTATCTCCCGACGAAGGCGGGATTGCATCAGTGGCTGTTTGGCCAGTTCGTAAAGGGCGAAGGACATGCTGGAGGAGCAGGTCTCGATGCCGGCCACTTCAAAGGATGCCGCCTGGGCGGCTAGGAAGTCGCGATGATGCGTGAAATGCGACTTATCCTGCTGCAGGTCCGCCTCCTTCTTGAGGGTTAATAGCAGTTCGATGAGATCGTTGCGCAGATCGCCGCCCCTCTCCCGCTCCTCGATCACCAGCTGGATGACACGACGCAGGAATTCCGAGTGCGGCTCTGTGAAAAGTTTTGGCCGCAATAGCGGTACAAATTTTGGCAGGTAGAAGATCACAAACAAATCGATTATTCGCCAAACATTCGGTCTAAACAGATCCTGACAATGCGATCCAATTTCCGACTGCGTATTCCTCAAGCTATACGATCTCAGCCCAAAAGCTATACTGGCTATCATATCCGTATTATACAGATCGCACACATCCTTGATGCTGACGATGGCTCCTCGTTCCGCATCGCCACGTCGCAGATCTCGCGTCAATCGCTTCAGATACCATTCCAAGTCACAACCGATCTGGTTAGGGTGGGTCGGGAATTATGTGTCCAGAAGCCCATAGAAAATAATCAAAAATTAAAATATTCATCAGTTTTGGAGTTACAGATTTTAGATATATGATTATAATGGTTATGGGTTTAAACTTTTATGGGTTAATGGGTTAAAGAAGTAAGCTTTTCTTGGAAAAGCTAGATAGAATCTACAATTTCTTTCCAAAACAGTAGGCTAGGTAAACAAAGGCACTTATCCAAACAAATTCATCTAAATTATTTTTTCAATTTAGTATTTGAACTCTCAGATACAACATCTCTAAACATTATTGAGGATTTGCGACAACCGACAAATCATTATGATTACGGAATTTGTGTGTGTCCTTGGACTTATTATTGGAGTTGTAGTTGTAGTAGGATACCTGGTAAAAGTTCTCCTCTTTTCCTGTATAAACTGGAAGAAATGAATCGTGCAACCGATCTACAAGTCATTGAAGCGGAGCTGCTAGAAATAATGCAATTTTTAAAAGCAACCGGTGCAAATCAGAAAATTATGGATTTGGGTAAAATACTTCATTTCCATTACCGACTTGACGTAGAGGAAAGCTTAAAATAATTAAATTGCGAAGATTTTTTTAAATAATGTACATAGGTATTCTATTGGGTTTTCAATAAATTGTGAATTTTTTAGCTTTATTTTTTTTTTTAATACATATGTATTATATTTCTACTTTTAGTAATAATGAATCTCGTACTAACATCTGAAAACTTACTGAAATGCGGAGCTTAAATGCGAACGTGTGAACCATTATTATATTAAATATTAAATATATTAAATATTTGAATAAAATACTTTAACTAAACATACCTATTGTTTCATAAATCAAAAAATCTTTCCTTGTCACCGACATTTACATTTCAAAACTGATTAGTCATGATCTTGTTGTATCTTCTTTTTTTTTATGAAAGATAAAATATTCAATGATATTTGCATAAAAATCTTTAATACACTAGCCTACAAGCTACATATCTGACCAATTTCAAGTTAATTACTTTGCAATCTCTGTGATTCTTTTTGTAGTTCCTGTGAACATCCGATACTTTTGTGGTTTTGATAAGTTAACTTTTTAAAGAAAAAAAAAAATAAAAGAATGTTTGATAAGCTGGAAATTAAAACACAAGTAGTTTGATGAGACCTGCGGTTATCAGACATCACCCACTTGCCTACTTAGAGAACACTGAGAAAAAAAAGGTTTCGTAAAAAAATGTTAATCATATTATAATAAATTTCATTTAAAAAAATATTTAAAATTTGTGTAGAACACTAAAATAAATTATGATACACTGTACATAATTCATATGATGATATGAGTACACTGAAAAATTGTAACAAAAAAATGTATAATATTTTATAAAATTTACTAATTTATACTGTAAAAACAAAGGTTTTTTTTCTTTTAAAATATGAATGTGAGAAATTTAAAATTTTAAAAATATGAAGGTTTTTTTTAATTTATTTCCAAATTTATTAACTAAATCTACCCATTCGTTTTTCTCAGTGTATTCCGTTTGGTGGCGTGGCCGAACGTCTGATATTCGATTGCCCCCTCCTATCGTTCCGGCCCCCTCGGCGCATGACTCACCTCTTCCATCAGAGAGAACATCTGCTTGAGCTTGGCGCCCGCAAAAGCGGGATCGAGTCGCGTGCGTATCTCGCGCCACTCCGGCTGCTTGGCGAGGAAGAGGTTGAGGGCGCCCATTTTGTCGCTCCTGGCATCACATTTGGCGAATCGATTCGAGAAGCTAACAAAGTCCTCGATGAGCACCGTACGGGCCAGGTTGAGGTCACGGATGAGCAGGGCCGGCTGGTGGAACAGGTAGATCCCCACCACCGGCTCGTTGCGGAATCGTTCATCGAAGTAGAAGCGTCGCAGCTGCAGCGCAAATGACTCCTCCAGACGCAGGACGCGCGTCAAGTTGCCCAAAATGTGCGTCGGCTGCACAAATTTCACGCGACGTCGCTGCCAATAGACGTAGGTGCGACGAGACCAGATGAATATTGCCGTTAGAATCGTCACGATCGCCAAAAGAATATTGGTGGAATAGGCCATAACTACGCCAAGTTGAATAAAATAGAGCGCGCTTCGGTCTCTGCTTCTGCTTCAGCTCCTGTGCTGCTTTTATTTTAAGCCTCTGTTGGCGTTGCTGCTTTGGTTTTACTTTGCTTTGCTTTGCACCGCAAGCACTCGCACTCGCACTCGCTCTCGCTCTTTCTTTTCCCCGTGACGTTTTTGGTTTTGCTTTGTGTGCTTTTGTGTGCCTTTGCAAGTGCCTCCCCTCTTTGCTTATTTCGTTTATCAGCCCCGTTTTCGCTGTTTTCTGTGGCAAGCTCTACTGTTCTGCCACTATTTTTATTTCGAATGCACTGATAAATATTTCGTAATGTTAATTGGTATTTATTATTAAATATATTATTATTATTTTTTTTGGATTAAATGCTTATGTTTTTCTGTTGTTTTTGTTTACATTTTTTTTTTTTTTTTTTTTGTCTTTTTATTAAAAATCCTAATTATTAATTATCACTATTTTTGTCTTTCAATTCCTAGCTGTTGTTTCAGTTCAGACTTGTTGTTGTTGTTTTGGATTTTTTTTTTCACTGTACTCCACTGTGCTTGCCGATTTTGTTGTCGTTTTCTCTGCTTTTCTTTTCACACTTCACTCTCGCGTCGCGTTTTATAAATAAAATACTTAAGAAATTATATCACATGGTTTTTTTGAAACAACTAGCTGAAATATCTATAAACCGCAAAAATACAATAAAATTAAGAATTAAATGCACAAAACAACGCGACGTCAACAACAAAGAAGAGGAAGAAGAAGCAGTGGCAGAACAGCCACGCCGAACGCGTAGAATGAGACGACAAAGAGAGCTTGCTTCAGTGGAAGAAGCAGAAGTGGCGCGAGAGAGTCAGAGACCGAAGCGCTTAAATGGGAGCAAATAGAGAGCGCAATTTGTTATTATTTTGGCGAGTTTTTTTGGCCAAAACTCCGAACTTAAAAACCGCGAATAATAAATAATAAATAAAAAGCACGCTAGCTCCACAAGTTGACGCTTCCAACTCAACTGACGACGCGACGCTGACGGGAGCCGGCCCCACCAAGGCAGCCACGCCGCCCCCATATCGCAAGTTTGCGGGAGGCGCGACAGCAAAAAAAAAAAACCAAAAGCCACAACAACTACATTGGGGGTGTTCCAAAGAGCGAGAGAGAGCCAAAGAGAGTGAGATCTCGCGAGAGCGCGCCAAAGAATCTGAAATGTCATCGGTTCTGAAGGCAGACGTTGTCGATGCTTTACAGTGGGACAAAAAAAAAGTTGATTTTATATATCTTAAAAAATATATCCATAAAATATGTTAACTACTAAAACTGAAGCTAAAATTTATTATTGAAATATATTTTAAAAAAATGTTAGAATAAAAATTATATATATTCGGCCCACTGTTAGTGCTATTAAATGGCGCTATTAAATTAAATTCTAAAGAAACTGTTAACATATATATTATTAATTGACATTCATTGAATACAATAACTTATTTTAATAGAAATTTATTTATTTTTAACAAAGTTATTGTAATTTAAGCTATGTGGCCCACTGTGGATGACAAAGGATGCCAAAGCACCGCAAATAAAAGCGAAATGCCTCGGCCAAAAACAAACACAATGGAGGCAGCGCTGTCACTGCTCTGCCTGCGCTCCACGTGACGGCGACCGCAAAGCTCTCGATAAAAACAAACGAAGAGCGCCGCCAGAGAAAGAGAGCGACAGAGAGAGCCACGATAACTTTGCCGGTGGAAGACAATGGTCACTTGTTGTTGTTGTTGATTGTTCTTACCTTTTTTTTTTTTATGTTTTTGCCCTGGTTTATTTTTTTTTTGTTGCCAGGGCTGGGTGCTAAAGTTAAGCAATGTAAGAAATTGGGAGCAGTGATTAAATTAAATTAAAAAATTATTTCTATTGAAATGTAAAAGTCTTAAAAGATAAATGTTTTTAAAGAAATAAAAGTTTTAAGAAATTTATATATAAGATATTGTTTTTTTTTAGTGTAAATTTTGGCTTTTATTTCCTTTTGGCCAAAAGACACTTTGTTCAACAAATTGTTGGCGGGAGTGGAGAGCGGAAACACCATTTACGGCAATTGGCAGAAATTTGCACTTTTCTTCTTCTTCTTCTTAGTTACAAATGTGCAACATTTCCGGTTGCTTTTTTGGTCTGGTTGGCCACATTGAGTGGATGGGTGGTGTGGTATGGTGTGGGGTTGAAGGGGCATTGTGGGGTTAAGGCTGGCTTTGATTAAATTTCACGCACGACCGATTTGGAAGGGTTTTTTTTCACGAAAAAGGGAGATTTTTGAGACTTTTTGGGGCGCTTCACCGTTTGCAGTTCGATTTGCATTTTATAGCCACAGTGAAGACTGGTTAACATGTAAACTAGAAACTTAAGTATAATTTGATGAAGCTGCAAAGCTTTTATCAGCTTAAATGTTTATTTTTAGGTTTTAAAAATTATTTAAAAAAAATTTTATTTATCGAGTGCCCACCGTTGCCTGGGCGGTGTGTCAATAATCGCTGTCGCTTATGCACACAACGGCTCTGCAAACACCAGCGCACTTGTCGCAACAATATGCCTCCAGCCACACCCCCTCCGCCCTCTTGGTCCATGTCTTAGCCCCTCCCCCCTCCCACGACGCTCCCTTCAAAATCAAAGCCGTCTCAATCAACAAACAAACAAACAGGCAAACAAACAAATAGACAGACAAACATTTGTGTGCGCATTTCAAGTCGACAGTGGGCGACAGTGGGTTAAGGTGTGCGCCTCAGGAGGGGGAGTGTGTGTGATGGACACTGGGGGGGTGTGAAGCGGTAATGCAGGGTGGAAAATCTCCTTACGATATTTAGTTTTCGGCCTGTGACTTTGTTTTCATTCCATTTGCGCTGTTTGCATTGGAAATCTTTTAATTATTGTCACGCATCCACGCCCCCTCAACCACTGACCTCCACCCACCAAACACCCACCACCCACCAAATTTCCATTCGTAAAGTAGTTTCCACTTGTGGGAGTTGTGTCAGGTGTTTGGCGATTTTCTAGGCGATTACGTTCGCGTCTGGGTGGGGGGTGTTAGAGGGAAAATGATCAGGGGTTTATACTATATTTAATCCACGATTATTTTCTGGTATAAAGATTGATACCCAGATATAAATCTACCAAGATTTAATCTTCTTCTTGGACACATTTTGCTTCCTATGGACATATGTATGTACCTATATATTAATGTTTTTAAAGGGTCTGCCCATGAAAATTAACAAAAAATCGAAAAAATAATTTGTGAGTAGGTTTTTCATGCAGATCGGTGGAGATTTACAATAAAAAATATTATGGGTATTTCGCATAAAAATCGGCTAGAAATTGCGTAAGATATGGCCATTCTTTTTGGCCACATTGGGTTTCATACGGATTTCCCAAAGGGAGTCCCTAAAAAATTTAAAAAAAAATGTTTAAAAATTATTCTTTATCATCTTTGAATGCAGATTAGTGGAGAAATTGTCCATTAAAAGATATTCTTCAAAAATATGGGATAAAAAAAGGCCAAAGATATGGTCTTTTATTTTGGCCACATTGTTCTTCTTAATGGAGACTACTCCGTATTTTCAAGAAATCTCAGAAAAATCTGAAAAATGAACAAAAAATTTAAAAAATTATTCATGATCATGTTTTAATGCAGATCTATATAGAATTGATCCACAAACCCTCAAAGGTCCTCCGCTTTGAAATGGGATAAAAATTGGCCAAGATATGTTCTTTCCTTTAGGCCACATTGGGCTTCATATGAATTTCTGCATATGTACAAGGGATCTACTTTGAAAAATCGGCAGAAAAAATTTAAGAAGTAATTCATGATTCATGATAAATTTAAGAAGTTTTGATGCAGATATATAGAGAATTGACCCACAACACTTTTAAGATGTTTCGGATAAAAATGGGATAGAAGATATGGCCGGATATGACCTTTCCTTTTGGACACATTGGGTCTAGTACGGATTTATCAAGGGGACTTCCCCAGAAAAATTGACAAAAAATGGGAAAAATTATTCGAGATGATGTTTAAATGCAATTTTATGTATATTAAGTCAACAGATCTTTTAACAAATCTTTTAAGGTATTTCTCTTGAGAATCATATGAAAATATGTAAAGATATGGCCTTTGCTTTTGGCCCTATATTTCTTCCTATGAACTTATCCATATTTCCAAAGAAGTCTCTGTAGAAAAATTGGCAAAAAGTCTCTCTAGGCAAATTGGCAAAAAATCGAAAAAATTATTATAGAGAAACGATCTCCAAATGTTAGGGTGTATTATTCTCGTAAATCGCCTGAGAATTGGTCAAAATATGCCTCTATATTTCTCGGAAATAATTGTTCCTCCAAAGGCTTTTTTGCTTGTTTTCCTTTCCCAATAATTTCCCTTGAAAATGCATTCTTTAAAAAATTTAAATTTCAATTGTTTTCCTTGTTTATCTTATGATTTAACATCTTGTAATTAAAACTCATCCCATACACCTGTATATGCTTATTTCTCACATACGTTTTGGAGTATCTTGTATCTGTGAGATACAGTCCAGACCGGTGCAGACGCATTCCTTTTAAGATGCTGCACTGACCATCGAAGGTGAAATGGAAACAATAACCTAAAAAAAAACTGGATAATAAAAACACACACCCACATGGTCCAGTAATCCCCGGGGGGATTAATCCTTCGTTTTGATGTTGGACCGCTTTATTTTATTTTTTTGTGAAGATAAAGTGCGCAAAATAGATGCGTAATTTGACGTTAATGTTACGCTAATAATAATCTGTCAGCAGCTGATCGGGACGGGACACACACACACTGGCACACATCATACGGATGCGTATCCCTCGGATGCGGATGCACATGTGTGTATCCCTAAGATTGCGATCGTGTAATGTGCTTAGGATGGAAACCTTCGTCGTCCTTTCGGCATGTGTGTGTTTTGTATTTCTTTTTTTAAGACGCATTGTTGTGTTTGCCATTTTGACGGGTTTCGATTACTCCTTGTTACCCCAACCCCGGCCACATCCAGATTGTGTATCTTTGTATCCTTGTAGCTGTATCTTTGTATCTGCATCTGAACCGAATGCCCTTTCATGTGTGTAATCCACTCTGCTCGTTTTTGCTCGAAAAGTTAAATGATGCGCACCTAAGATGTGCAAATATGTATCTTTTTTTTTTTTTGCTCCCTTCTCCGACTACTGTTTTTGAGTTTCTTTATTTTCAGATAGACGGCTGATGAAAGCAAATTGCACAACAAGGATATCCCAAAGGAACACACACACGCATAATCACAAAAAAGATACAATTAAATGTGTCTGCAAAAAAGATACGATAATTAGTATTTTAGATCTATAGATTGTTTAATTGGAAATGGTTTAAAAAATGGTTAAAAAAATATTTTAAAATAAAAAATATTTTCTTAAAATAAAGATCAGAGTATAGTACCAGTCCATCCATATAATTTTTTCAAGAACCATTTGGAAACCCTGACTCTTTCAACTTTCCTTTAAATCCCTTAAAAATGGTTAGCTCTAAAAATACAATTTAGACCTTTAATTAAACCTTGACCTGGCCATAAAGTCAAACCCAACAAATGCAAAGTCAAAACGCAGTCAACAAATCCACAAAAAATACGCCAGAAGTCGTTCTCGAAAAATACGAAAAATTCCCGCTGCATTAAAAATAACTTAGAGAAAAGGTAAAAGGGATACACTTCTAAGAAAAGTAAAAAATATAATAATGAAAGACAAAAAACAGCAAAACGCAGAAGTGAACTGCACTAGAAACCTACAAACCTAAATAGATCGGGTCAAGTTCTAAGTAAGGATGCAAGGATGTCCCTCTAAAAAAAGGATTGCAAATCGGCGAAACAACCGTAAAACGCGATTCCTGGTAGTTAGGGTACGAATGCCCAGGCTTAACCCCTTTTTGCCCACGCTAACAATTGCAAATTGTATTTGTAGAGCGAAAAGGGGTTAAAAAAGGAAGGGAAGGGTAGGTAAGGAGGGACAAAAAACGAAGGCAAAGGACCTCAGGTCGAAGCCAATAAATATTTATGGCTATATGACATGGGAGTTTTTTATTTTAAAAGGATCTTTAGGGTTAATTAAAAAAAAAAACTATTTATTTTGTTAAGCGTTATATATGTAAAAAATGAGAATTTAAAAAAATTATGAAAAATACCTAAAAACAGAATAAAATTATTTAAAAAATCTCAAAGCGTTATCGAACTCGATACTCTTTATTACTAAAAACAGTTTAAATTAAAAATATTGTTTGGTAAAAATTAAATAGAACCTTTTAGTTGATTAATTTAATATATTTAGACTTATCTATATATTTTTTATGATTTTCTAGAAATTCTCATATTACACAGACATAAATCTTATCCTTTTTTTAAGAAATGTTTGACGCCATTTTGGCAATGCAAATCTCAGTTTCCGACTGCCCTGCTTCAGTTTTTATCCTGCTGTCTGTTGTCTATTTTTTTAGCTAGATCGTAAAGCAATAAAACCATAAAAAGAGGACATAAATTTGGAAAAAAATAGAAAGGCGAGTAAATGTGGAACGAGAACAGGATACGGTTTCAATTTTCGACGAAGGGTTAAAAAAATGAGTGTGAGATTTTTGTGTTTATGACTCGGTCAGCGAATGGGTTAATAACAATTGATTTTTCTGGTTAATTTTTTATGTGTTTTTGGTTCTACATAGTTTTGTATTTTATTTTTTTGGCAGGACTACGCGGAATCGAACTCGAAAAAAAACTCGAAATGTAAAAACAATATGAATTTTGTGTCTTGACTTTCGAGTTTAGAGGTCGGGTTTAGAGTTAAGCGTTTTCCTTAGGGTCAAGATGCCGCCGTGGAAAATATAAAGGAGCAATTAACATTAACCCCTTTGTGACTGACTCTTTTTCAAAAAAGATGCCGACTGTCCATAAAACTGTCGCATAAGTCAGCTCGGGCCTCGAAAAAAAAATACAAAAATATTAATATTTATATTTTCCCATTCCCATTTTGATGTCTCAACCTGCTGCTGTTGAAAAATATAAATATATATTTTTTTGTGATGATGAGATGCTCATCGTGTGAGTTTCGTTTAATTTTTCAATTAATTTCTTCTTTTTGTTTTCTTGGCGGGTTCTCAGAGTCAATATGCAGCGCCATGTGTTGTTCTTCGAGAATCGGAGATCGGAGTTTGAAGACTCGGGCCCTTTTTTCTCTTTTTCTTTTTTTTTTTATGAGCCCTAACCAATTTGTACAAATTACTGCGGTGTCTTTTGGCTCCTCCACGCCCATCTCTTTCTATCCCAGGCGGGGCATCTCTTTCGCACCTTTTGGAGTGGTGGTCATCCAAGTTGGCCAAGAAGAGTTACCAAAATTGGGCCACCGCGTCCATGTGAAAATCTCAATCGGAAAAACACAAAGGCCATGGGGAAAATGGTCAAAGCGGGGGAGGTGCCGTCTGAGGGGTCTGGAAAATTGGTGAATGGCTTTGGGAAAATACCCATCGAAGTGCCTATATGCTCTAATTAAATTTATTTCATTTGCAGGCAAGTGGAAAATTTTAGGTCTTTACAAAAAAATAGAGGAATATTTTTTGAGTGAAACTCTGTATTATGAGTATATAAGTATACAAAGCCTGTTGTTATGGTTGAGGCTATTTTATTTGTATTATTAAATTATTTATCTAATTTTAATTTTTTTTACAAACCTAGAAACATTTTCTATTTGGTCCAACTAAAAATAACTAAACCCCTTTCAAAAAAAACGAAATTACATAGAATCATTTAAACTAAAAGCCAAGCCTTGGCCCTTTTTAGGCCCATTTGTTACCAATTTCGTCTTGATTTCCTGGTCAAACTTTTGGTTTTCCACCCAAAAGAATGCTCCAGCTCCACATCCCCCTGATTTCCTATGATTTCCGTCGTCCTCCCTTCTGGCTTTTCTTCTTTTTTTTTTTTGGGAAAACGCCTCAATCAACGTGTCGTGGCCATGTTCTGAGCCGAGCCAAGCCATTTTGGCCAACATTTGGCCACAAGTGCAAGCCCACAAAATGCAGTTCATTCCCTAAACCAGTCCCCCCTTGTACTCCTCTATACATCTCTGTTTCTGTTTCTGTCCCCCCATGTCTCTTTCTCTTTCTGTCAATGTGTGCAGTTGAAAAGTGCAACAAAGTGCAGCAAAAGTGCCCTCGAAATCGGCTCGAAAACTCAACCAATCCACACGCCCCATTTTCGAGGTTCTAATCTACACTGGGTGAAATCGTTGGTTGTTTTTTTTGATATATTTTAATTAAGTTTCTAATGCGAATATTTACAAAGATCATAATATCCCAACAATAAAAAAAGAAATAAATAAAATTAGTATAAAATAAATTGATCATCTTCATAACCACGAAAATAAATTAGCTTTAAGTCAAGTAGACAATAGTTCAACAGTAAGAAGACTGTAGTACCACATACATACTATACTCGATCTTCCCGATAGATAATCCAACCAACTGAAAAGATGTTACACATATATAATAGCAGAGTTCATTGGAAAACTTATATTTCTGTTTATTTAATTTTAATCATACAATTTACTTATTGTTTAAAAATATTTTGTTGTTATTATTATTATTTGAATGTTAGGGTTATTTTATTTTAAAACATTGTAAACAGATGTGTGGGCTGATCCTAAAATATCTGAAATTCAAAATTTGGATTTTTCTGCTTGTGTTTTCAAACCTCAAACTTTTTCGAGTAAAAAACTTTATTTTTCGATTCATTTTAAATGTTTTATTATGCAATTTAATTACATATTTATAATGTGTAATGATAAGCATTACATTATGCTTAATATTTATATTCTAAATATTTTAATGATGTTTCATTTCCAAGTCCGTTTTAAAAGGCGGGCTTGTTTTCTTTATACTGTTCTTCGAATATAAATGTCTATGTTTTCATGTTCGAGGCTTACAGATCTAGGAATGAAAAAATAAAATTACATAAATTACTTCATGTTAGGAACGAAATGAGAATACACACCTCATACTAGGATCGAACCACCAGCCAAAGCCCAGTTCCTTCGCCAGATTACGACCAGAAACTCCATCCTCATCTCGATCGAAGGTGGAAAATTTGGAGCCCAGCTTAGGGATTATCCTTACGTTGGGTCCGGTACAATTTTCAATATTTTTCACCTCATAACCTTCGCGTCGAACGCCCACAACAAAGTGGTCGCATCTTTTGTACCCAGCAGTGGTGTCTAAAATAATCTCATAATGGTTTTTAATCGTTAGAAGATGTAATCGTTTGAGTCCAATAAAGAACTCATCGTCCCGTAAAGGTCCGAAATCTCCGAATCCACGTTCATATTCCTCATACGTGCGATTTAATATTTCTGAAGAAGGAACTGAACTATAAACCTTGAGCCATCCAGATCCAATCTTCGAAGTTGACACACAAACCACTTTAAACGGGTCTGAGCCTGGAATTTGAATTTCGCGGAGGACCCTACCGCTAAAATCTCGAGGACAAGGATCTGGAATTAAGAATACGATGTATTATTTTGAAAATTATTGTGTTCTGTCGACTCACCTATGGTTTCTGTTTTCGACGTCGTCTGATTATTAATATGAGCCAGTTGATTTGTTATGACTTCTCCAGCTTTAACTATTTCACCAATTTTGTCAATTTCTTTGCTAAATTTACTTGTCAACGTTGCAAGTTCACTTGTTTTCTCTAGGTACCTATTTTGTTCATTTAGTAGCTCGATTTCCTTATTTTTTTGATTTACTAGATTGTCAACTTCTTGCTGCTTTGAAAGCAACTTCTCATATCTAACTTTCTCATCGCTAAGTTGAATCAGAACATCCGTATATTTCTTTTGCACTTCCGAATGTCTTTCCAGCAAATTAGAATATCTTTTATGCAATTCCGAGTTATCATTATTGCACTTTGCGAGTTGGGTATCTTTCTCGTTGGTTTTCTCAAAATAGCGAAGTAAAGGCTTCACAATAGGATAACAAACCGATGAACACTGGTCCTCCTGCTCCTCCGAGAGATAACAGGACTGTAGAATTATAATTTCAATTAATTTTTAATATAAAATAACAATCAAAAAGGCTTTTACTTCTTCCGATCCAAGGGAGGCAGAAATTAGGAAAAGCACAGAAATTAGGGCCGCCGGGAAGATCATATTGTATTTTTTTATTGAATAAATTTTGCTTCTAAAAGAAACACAGGTAATATTTCAACTGATGCTGCGAGTCTTGAAGCTCCGGGTTTTTAAAGCCATCCTCGGCCTTGAGCTTCACACTGAGCTTCAGAGTTTCTGATAAGAAGATCAGTCTTCAAGCGTGTGCTGTCTACGGGCACTGGGACACTGGGGAAATTGGGATACACGAGGCGCATCACATAGTAAAGCCAAATTATTGGCTTAATGGATGGGATGTCAAAGGTTATTCGAGATTAGAGAAAGGTGATTAGCAACAAGAACTAATTTATAATCTTAGAGTCTTGTTCTTTTAATATATAGAAGCTAAATTATTTATTTAATATATTATTTATATTTTATATACCTTTTATTAAAAGTATAATATTATTAACATATGTATGCCTAAACCTCATTAGGAAAGAACCATTTAAATAGATTTCAATGAGCTATAAGTCCCCTTATCTATAACATTTAAAATTCAACCTTAAAATATGTATGTATGTAAATAAATAATTATTATAAAATTAAATATTAAGTTAAATATCTTAAATACTCTTTCATCTCAGATCGCATATACATATATCCCAAACATCGGATATACTTAGCCAATTCCTATGACGATCATTCATTATTCAACACTTAATACCCATTATACCGGTAACAATAAAAATAAAAGATTTTGAACGAAATAACTATATATATTTCTAAATTAAAATGAATAATTTTATATTACTATATTTTTCTATTTTTTTTTTAGCGGTGTAGACAAACAGTTTGGAGACCAAAAATGCCGAAGGAGCTGCTTGAACAAAAGGCCCGGATTGCCTTTGGCTGTCGGAGGGGCCATTGGGGGGTTAAATGGGTTAAAGCTTCCCTTAACCCCTACGCACACATCCTGGCAAAAGCACAAGTACACACATATACATACTGGAGCACACACTGGCATTTCCACAACCAATTTCCTTGATTATTTGGCGCTTCTCAATTAAGGAGTCGATTTTAATGCACTGGCCGCTGCAGCCAAAGGACTTTATTTAATAAAATCAATTTCATAACATAAATTTTAAAGCGGCAGGAGAGTGGAGTCTGTGTGTTGCAGTGGCAGTGGCAGCTTCATCATTTGGGTGCCACATATTAATTCCAGTTTCGCACTTTTCGTTCTCGCCTGCAAAATGCCATAAATAGTTGTTGTCGCTGGTCGTCCGATCTGGTCGGCGTCCTTTTTCCATCTCCTACCCGCCTCCATTGCGAAATCCTTTCTGGCCGTATATACTGCACATTGCTGCATTTATTAATAATTATAATGTCTGCCGGCCTCCACCCCTCCAACGCCCAAAATGTATGTGTGTGTTGGGGATATCCTTTTTGGGGGCCAGAACAAGCAGGAATGTTGTTTTCCTCCTGCATGCACTCCGGCTTTTTCGGCTCCTGGACTTCCTGGGCTTCTGTATCCTGCGTCCTGGCATTCATAAATCGCAGCTCATTTCGGTGTGGCCACGGAATGCACACGCATAATTATTTCTGCCTGTCGACAACGAAAGAGTGCGGATGGAAGCGGTTGGCGGAATTATTATCAGGACTTGTGAGGAGAGGATATCCCTTTGGAGATTTTATGAAATTATTGAGCTTATGGAACCTAGATCTTTGGCTTTATAGATAACAAAATTATTTGTTTACCATTATATAAAGAAGGTTCTGAAATAGGCACCCGATTAATTTTGTTATAAGTCTAACTATATTAATATAACCATATATATATATAACTAACTATATCTTATATACTATAATATCTACTAATCGAACTATTATATAAATACCTACTACTATAAAATTTTTAGAAAGAGGAATATATAATTTGAAAACCGAATATTATCATAATCGGTACTGTTTTCATACCCATAACTACAAAAAAATCGGTACTATACTCCTGCTCAATACTATATTCATACCCGGTACTATACCGTGTTTATACCCGGTACTTCTGCTTCCTTAAAATTAGAAAAATAAATAAATAAAAAAACTTTCTTCAGCTAAGAGCTTTTAACCCATAGTATTCTTGTATAAAATATTTAAAGATAAACATACCCTAATTCATACCTACTATCATACCTACTATTATACCTACATACCTACTATGCATAACTAATATACTGTACCCGGTACTACTTTTATTTAAAATATTTAAACAAGTTCTATTCCTTATATTCTATTTTATCTTTAAGATATAAAAATACTCTTTAGGTTATATATGTAGGTTTTAAGTATAAACGAGCTGTATCCTAAAATTCATACCTGGTACTATTTTTTCCCTGTAAAATTAAATAAAATAACTATCCATGTATTCTATTTAAAATATTTAATCTCCAATAATTATTATCTCCAACTTCTCTATCTCTAACTTAAAATCCATACCCTGTACTAGGTTAGATAGGTTTCAAATATTTAAAGATTCTGTCCTAAAATTTATATCCTTTGCTTCTCATACTGAAACAATTTTTAACGAAAACCAATATCCATCTTAAAATCCAAACTCCCTACTAACTCAAAACTTCTCTGAAGCCCCTAGTCCCCTTCATTCATTGAAGTCCCCACTTTTTCTTATTTTTCCTAGATCCTAGGTTAACCCAAAACGGCAGCCATTTAGATGCAAATGCAGTTTGAAAGCTGAAACCATTTATAAGATCCCATAAAGATGCCAGAAGAGATGCAGCTCAAACCAGATACGGATACAGATACAGATACATCTGCTGTTGCAGTTGAGATTTGAGTTCCGTTTCATTCTCATCCTTTTTTTTTTGTTTTGTTCGAGGATGTCTCTCTTCGCGGCAATTACCCAAAGGAGATGCAGGCCTACAGATACAGATACAAAGATACACGAAGAACGTTAGACAGGCGGCGCTAACCAATTTTCAATGGTTGCGCAATAACTGCAAATTTAATTTCGCAATTTCGCGCCTCGGATTCAATTGCCCCCATTTGGTCTTGCCTTTTTGCAACCCTCCTCTGGAATCCGGGCATCCTGGCAGGCCTCTTTGTGAACCTTGGCCAGAGGGAGAGTGCCTCCATGGTCCTGGATTTGGATAAATTGGCCAAACTAATCCCACTTTGTTGGCCATAAATTTTCCAAATAAATTGCCAATGCTTTTGCATAACTAAACAGTTTTCAGGGTTTTCAAGTGAAAATATAATTTTTTAAGTATTTCTTTAAATTTAAAAAATAAAGTCTTATATCTTCTACCAGTGTATGGATTTTCTTTGGAAAGTGGTTTGCCAAAAATTGCCACCAAAAAGCAATTGTGGGAAGGAGAAATCCATTTCAGGTTATCCGCGAATTTCAATCAGCCGGCAATGAATAAATGGAGGGAAAAAATCAAGTGAAAAACCAAAAGGAAAACCCGGAGGTTCCCCCTTTAACGCAAGGAATGGAGATGGGAACTTGAATAAAAATAAATATATACATACGTGAGATGCCAAAGTGTAAAAATGGGGGAGACGAAATATTTTCCGTTGGTGAAAAATTACTTGAAGAAAATCCACTTAAGTAGCTTTGACAAAACTACCAAAGTCAGGCACGGCTAAAGATACAGATACATGGCGATGCTAAAGATACAGATACTCGTACATCTGGGCAAGATTTATGGGATCTTTTAGAAAGAGTTACGCCAGCATCTAGGGAAAATCTCATCAAATTTGTTTAAATGCCCATAAATCTTTCCGGGCAGCTGCAGAATCACTCCGATTCGAAACTCAAAAGATCCAATGAAGACTGAAAAGCGAAAAAAATGTGTAAAAGGAGTGGAAATAGAGCCCTAAGCTTCGTGTAAACAATCATTAAAAATCATTAACCATTGGCGCCACTTTCTCATAATAAACATCAAACTCCATTCTGCAACTTTTACAAAATTGAAGGAAAAAAACTGCAGAAGATACTTTGTGTATTTTGTTGTTCCACTAAAGAAAAGTTTTATACAAAATAATAACTTTGAAAAATTAAAAAAATAATTTAAATTTAGAACAAAGTTGACGAAATTGAAAAATTCTTAAGCACATCTACTTTGTTAGTTTTTATGGTTTTTAAAACTTTACTAATATTTCTGTTTATACAATTATTCTTAAATGTTTCAAACATTTTTGAAGCCATTTATTTTTAATTTTAAGACAGACCCTAACTTTTTGCTGTGTATTTCCTTTTTGAAATTGGCCTGCCTGCACTTTTTGTTTATGCAATGGTAGCGTGAGAATTTTTGCCACGCCTCCTCGCCTTATGCCCCATGATCCATGCCCCATGAACACACCACACCCCACCCGACTAACCGCCCACCCGCTTAAATGGCTGGCCATAAAAACCGCTTTGGCCATAAACAAAGTCCAGTGTTAAAAATGTGGAAAACAAAAGGAAAAAAATAAAATGCCAGCAAACAAACAGAAATTATTTGGTTTTCTGGTCATGCCCGAAAAGAGCAAGGCGCCAACCAGCTATACAAGTACATAGTCATAGATATATCCCCCATATATCCACCAAAAAGTAGATCCAATTCATTGGGCCATCCAGGGCGAACAGAACCGAACCGAACCGTACCGAACTGAAACTGAACAGAATTTTTATTGGAAACATTTTTACGGCTACGAGTTTTTATGACCGCGTATAAAACAAGCAAATGGGAGGGAAAAAAAGAAGGAAAACCAACGAGTAACAAAATAGCAAATCGAAAACATTGGAAATAATTAAACAACAAATTGCCTAAAAAACAAATAAACAAAAAATCAGAAAACAGAGGGCATCAGACGCATTTTTGGCCAGCAAGATAATTTTCAAAATGTACTTAAAAGTAAGAGTTTTTTTCAGACTTGAACAATAAATTTTTTACTAAATAAAAAATATTTAACAAAGTTAAATCTTGTATTTCTTTTATATAGATAGATTATGCATGTATTCAAATTAAAGCTTGATTTTTGTAGTAATTTCGTGAAAATTTGCCTCAAAAATATACAAAA